CTAATGTGAATGAGCTCCAAGATTTGTCCTCCTCTAAGAGAATTCAGACACTGCATCTCATTACAAACTGAGCTTGATCCAGTGATTACAGTAAAGGCACACTACAAAAAAAAAAAAAAAAAAAACACTTTGAGAAAGGACAAGGTGAACAAACTGCAGTTTCCTCAGACTAGAGAGAAGTATGAATCATTATAATGCAGAAAGCATTGTCAAAATTCTTGCAGTGAAAATTCACCTGAAAAAGATAACCCCCACCAACAGTGTCATACTTTGTTAAAGTTGATCTCCAGGCTTTACAAAGAAATACTTGCCTGAAATGATGGCCTTGTTCCTTGGCAGGTTCCAGTTCTTTCTTTGCTATTTGGGAGGATCCTTCTTGCAGTATCCATGTCTCTTCTTGGTGATGTGGGCACTGCCTGTTGGCTGCTGATGGTGACAATCCCCTGGATCCTTAAGGTGGTTCTAAAGTCTCTAAAGGTGTAGGGTTGTGTGTTTTTTTGTTAAACCTTTAATGCATTCTGTACTTTAAGGTTACCTTCCACTGTGTGTCCCCTCTCTTCCTCCCTAACACTTGCCTATCTCCTGTATCTATCCAGCGCTATGCCCAGCTGCTGGTCTTCTCTCCCTCTTTCTGGTCTCAAAGACTGCCAAGAACAGTGGGAGCCATTGGGTCTTGCTGATTTCAGTCAAATCCAATGAGCATAGAACAGGGGGCAGGGCTGAGCCAGGTTGTGTGTCTATGGACACACACACAGCTTGGCTCAGCAGCAAGCGCACGTCTGCCCCCATAAGTGGCTTGCTATCTGGGTAGTTAAAGAAGAGGAGCCAAGACCACTGGCAGGGGAGACCCCAGAAGAGGAGTTTCAGGACAGCTCTGTGCACTACCATTGCACAGATCAAGTAAATATAAATCTTTGTTTTTTTTTTTTAAAAAGAAACTTTACAGTCACTTTAAGTAGTCAGTTCTGTCATTTGTGATAGTGATGACTTTTTTTCTTTTTTTTTTTTTTTTTTCTTTCTTTCTATGAACGAAAATGCCAATTCCCAGTCCTTTGTAAATTTTTTTCACCTATAGATCAAATACTATTAGGCCTCTTGCACAAAGACATAATATTTTAATGATGTTTATACTTGTTGGCAGGTCCTGAGTAAAATGTTCTGTAAAGACCTTGCATATAAGCACGTAAATGTGCTTTTGCATATACATACATAAAATTCTTCCTTTTCTAGTTGCCAGTGTTGCAATATTTGCATGCATGTGCGCCTAAATTGCTGCACGCAAATGTATGTTTTTTTTTTTTTTTCTTCTAAGTCTCTGTACTTATCACTGTATTACTGATTACACAGCTGTGTGCATTGTTCCAAGGACAACAGTGCAATCGTGTTCAGATCAGCAAAAAAGTGGTGATTTTTAATTCTGTTTGCAAGATGCCTTATTTTAAGTATTACGTGCAAACATAATGTTGCTTTAAAGAGAATAAAATGTACAGATCCTCAGACAGTAGTACTAAGTAGTAAATCAGTGAGTGATGCAAGTTAGCTAGGAAGAAATAAGTAACTGTGAGTGAGCAGTCAGATGTCTCAGCAGGCCCAACCTTCATACCTATCATACCACAAATGCACTTTGCCTAATACCAGTTGTTTTCTCCTTGTGTAACGACAGCAATATTTAGTCTCTTTTTAAACGAAGAAATCTGCTTAGCTTGGACACCACCTTGTTTGTGGGTTTTGCTTCTTGGTGTATAATATAACAAGCACTAATAGGGAAGTGCAGAAGTCATAAAAAATATTCAGGTTAATTTGAAAATGCTGAGTATGCCAATAGATTATTTTAGCCTTTACTTTGCTTTAAGTTTATATTTGAAGGACACATAACAGCCCTGATACCTTGAGCTCACAGGAAGTTGTTTGAGTGATGCTTCGTGCCCCGGAATCAAGTGTATCATCTCTTTTCCTTTATTTTTCCCAGTGCATGTATCGGCAACTCATTTTATTTGATTTATTTACTTTTTTAAATGTAATCCTAATACAGTAATCCAATTGCAGTTCTCAGGTAATCTTTAAAGGGCAGTTGTACATTTTGGTACAGTTTTCCTTAGACTCCCCTCACCTCTCCTGCTGGCTGCATCATTAATTTACAGTGTTTTGTGAATGGGAAAACTACAAGTCCTGACAGCCTTTGCAGTTTTCTGCTTGTATTTCTCAATGAACTACCAGTGCGCTGTTGATCGCTGTAGGTAGTTCATTGAGCTTCCTGCCAGAGTGTAACTGCCTGCCCCTATTGGAGGTAAGGGTAGTAGACAGATACAGTCTACAGGACCGTAGCATTACGCCCATGATTTGCTGATTGTGGGTGCAATGCTTTACAGGTCCCTAACAAAACAAAAAAAAAACAATGCATATTTTTTTACCTGCCAAAAAAAAATAAAAATAAAAATAAAAAAAAAAATATAATATATATATATATATATATATATATATATATATATATATATATATATATATATACATATATACATACACACACACGCACATTTTCATACTCTTAGATTGTAAGCTCCAACCCTCTTGTATTGAACTGTATTGTCTCCTGTTGTATTGTAAAGCGCAGAGCAGACTGTTGGCGCTATATAAATCTTGTATAATATTTATATAAATATATATACATTTATTTTATTTTTTGGGGGAAAGTGAACTTATCTTTTTAAGACAACACTTTGCTTTACACTTTTCAGTTTAGCACTTTTTATTGTTGTCATCTGAAATTAGCCGGTGATTTTTATCAGTGGATATTGCAATTTGCAGGATCTTCCTTTTCACATACTGTGGTGATTAACTTGGCTACCTAGTTTGTTCCTGATATGTTTCCTCTGTATTACAATTGCATCTGTCTCAGCATACTTCCTGCTATGACAACATTTCCTCCCAGACTTCCTTCCGCCAATGGCATTTCCTGGCGTGAAGCCTTTAGAATATGATCGAGAATGAATGACCATTTTCACTTATGGATCCTGATTGATATGTCTACCAGTAAAATCTTTACTCATCTGTTGTAATTAAGTGACACGGACAGAAATCTTATGACTGTATTTCCAAGTCATACTATGCATACTTTTTCTAAATACCATTGTTCTATAAGAAAATACAAAGCATCAGCTTCAGTCCACCCAAGGCCAATTGAATTATTTTTTTATGTACTGGAGAACAAAATTTTTTAAGCTAACATTTCAGGATATCAGACATCAGGTAAGGGTAAAACATGCAACTGTGTGACAGGTATATTGGTCTGAACGAGTACATCTTGCATCACTTCTTTTTTTCACCACTAGATTTAGCTTTTTGGCATCTGTTTCCCATTACTGTAGGTGGCCAAATTTATTGCAGATTAAACCACTGAAGTGTAAGTTACAGTGGGTATAGAAAAGAATTGCCCCCCCACCACACTTTAAAATAATCACATTTTTTTCCTTTGCAGCCTGAAATGGGAACATTATCTAGCTGTGTTTACGCAGTGCAAATTATAACATCCAAGTGAAAGCTAGAACACTGTCATGTCAGAAAAAAAAATTAAAAAACAGAATTACTCAGTTGGAAAAAGGATCACCCCCCCCCTCCTAAAAAATGACTCAATTGGGTGTAGCTAATCACCTTCTCAATGGCACACAAAGCTATTTGACTATCAGCTGTGGTCATTTTCATTAGCTCAGCATAAAAAAGCTTTCCTGAAGCATTTTAGTCCCTGGTCGTGCAACTGAAGCAAACAATCAACTATGGGTGGCAAGGCACTGTCAAAAGATATCCGGGATGAAGTAGACGGGCACAAATCGGGCGATGGATACAGAACAATTTCAAAGGCTTTATCAATGCCTAGAAGCAGAGTGAAGTCTATTATTAAGAAGTGGAAGATATTTGGTACAACACAGTCTCTGTGAATCAGGATGTCGCTCCCAACTGGATGAAAGCCAGGAGGAAGCTGGTCAGAGAGACTATTAAGAGGCCTACTGCAAATCTGAAGCAGTTGCAGGAATTTATGACAGAGTGGTTATTGTGTGCATGTTACAACAATAGCACAAATTCTCCACAAATGTGGCTTGTATGGGAGGGTTGCAAGGAAAAAAGCCACTCAAGAAAGGCTACCTACAGTCACTCCTCAAGAAAGACCACATGGAAAAAGGTGTCAGCTGAGACTGAAATTGAATTATTTGGCCTCCACACTAAATGATATGTCTGGCAGAAATCCAGTATAGCTCACCATTTAAATAACACCATCCCTACAGTACAGCATGGAGGTGGTAATCTCCTCTTATGGGTTCTTGTCACAATAGAAGGAAAAATGGATGGGGCAAAATACTGTCAAATTCTTGAAGAAAATCTGCTGCCTTCTGGTAGAAAGTTGTCAATGGGAAGAAGGTTTACCTTCCAACATGACAGTGACCCAAAGCACAGCGAAGTGACCACACAGTGGTTGAAGGAGAAAAAGGTGAATGTCCTTGTAGTCCTAGTCAGAGCCCATTCATAAACCCCACTGAAAATCTGTGGAATGACTTGAAGACTGCAATCCACAAACTGTCACCACCAAATTTAACTGAACTTGAGCAGTTCTGCAAAGAAGTATGGGCGAGTATTGCAAAGTCTAGATGAAGTTAGTAGACTTCTCCCAACTGACTAAGGCTGTAATTAAAGCAAAATGTGTTTTTTTCCAATTCAGTGATTCTGTTTTTTGTTTTTTTTGTTTTTTCCTGACATGTTGGTGTTCTATCTTTCATTTGGATGCTATAAGTTGCACTAAGTAAATACAGCTAGAAAAAGCAAAAACTGTGCCTGTCTTAATTTCAGGCTGCAAAGCAACAAAACGTGATTATTTTAAAGGGGGTGATTCTTTTCTATACACTGTATTTGGTCTGCCTTTTTATTATGTTATAGGTTGTTCGATTAAAAACGAATGCTTTGTGACATTTTCAGTTTTATTGATATTGTGTTTATTTTCTGTTCTTATACAGAGGTGGTCCCTCGTGGCTTATTGCCAGCCTAACCAGGGCTGCTGTTGACCAGACGCTGCAGAATGACCTGGCCTCATTTGAAGAAAAGAAAGGGGATGTGGTGGAGGGATCACAAGGTGATGGCGAAACTGAAAAATTGTGAGTATTTGAGATTTGTGTGATTTGAGATCTAATCTTTGAGATTTACCTCACCTTGTTATGGTGCATTGCCTGTATTTTGTGATCCACAGAGTCAGATATTGAACTTTAACCTTTTTGCTGCCACTGGTATATGTGGGTAGCAGCGGGGGGTGGAGGGCCCTGTCTCTCAGACACGCTCCCAGGTGCAACAGCAGTCAGCAATGTGTGTAAATCTTACAAGTTGGATGTCCAGTGGATCAAGACCCCCTGATGCCTGAGTTAGAGAAGAGGTCACCAACAATTTGTATCACAGGCTTTTCAGGCTTTGATACAAAGTTTAGTGGAGAAAAAAATACTAACCACACTTAAACCCCCAACGTACACACATAGGAAAGTAACCGCAAGCATTGGGGGTGCATATGTATGAAAACCTTGATTACACTACGTATGCTGCATATTTTAGGACCTTTATTCACAATGAACTCTAAAATGATGGGGCTTTTAAATCACGGTCTATGGAAAATATAGGGTACCAAAATTTGTTGCAGTTTCACAAGCCCACACAAAAATTGGAACTACCACCATTTAATTCTTCACATCTTTGGCAGTAAAAGGGGTGTACAGTTTGAAATATGTATGGCCTTTTGAGTTGTTGCACTTTAAGCGCAAAAATGTCCTCCGAATGCATTCTGAATGCTTTTTTTTTTTTTTTTTTTCCCCTTTTTTGGGTCATTTCAATTGCAAAATCTTTTTTTATTTTCATCAAGACAATGCTTCTGGTGACTTTTCCTGTGTGGCTCCAGGAAAATGGGGAAACTAGCCACGAGGTGGCTGTCTAACCCACACAGCACCCAGCAGCAAACGGGCACTGTCCAAACGATCCCAGATTTATGCCCAGGGAGGTCTGCCTATAGGAGGTGCCGAAGTTTTTTTTTTGTTTTTTTTGTTTTTCTGCCCAGTGTCCTACTCCTGTAGGTGGGGCTATACAATCCTGTTTGGTCATGGATAAAGAAGATGATGCTGTGTCCATTAGTGAACGCAGAGAAAGGTAGTTTACGGTGAATCCCGTTTTTCATCAAGGCAATGCTTCTGGCACTTTTTCTGTCACACCACTTCCTGTTTATCCCTTGGAAGTGTCCTTTGCGTGTTGTGTAGAGAAGATATCTAGCAGGCTTATTTATGGCCATTGCAATGCTGAGACTGCATGCCTGCAACAGAAGGCATTATTGGGTCCATCCATTATTGATGGAGCTTGTCATTGTCCAGATACAGCCTTCTGTGCTTCATTTGTCCAGATGTGCATGTGGGTTCAGATCATTTTTTTAATTCTTTTTTAATGCGTTCCAGTACAGTTCTGTGCAGGAAAAATGCAGCATGTTGTACTTTTTTTTTTTTCTCCTGGAACTGAAATGCACTGGAACTGACTGCACTAGTGTGAAGTATGCCATTGGCACACGTGACATACTTTTCATGTGTTTTTGACGCAGAAAGCGCTGCATATGGTGTAAGCTGGCCCTTAAAGGATAAGTTCACCTTTTCAGGCAGAATTTCACTTTTCATAATAAATAGAAGCGTTTTCCAGTGCTATTTCTGGTCCAGCCATCCCAGTGTGCTTTTTTCTCACTTACCCAATCCAAAGGACGTTTAATTTTTTGAAAGTTTCTGTGAAATTTTGAACAGAATCTCAGATTGCATAATTTCCTGTAAATGGTCTCTCAGCATTCACTTCCTGTAGGCCACTTCCCAGAAGCCTTCACTTCCTTGTTGCATCACAGAAGGTGTGATAGGGTGTGTTCACCACTCTGGACCTCCTTCATTACAATACTACCTTCCATCCATCAGCTATGTAGTGCAAGTGCCTATCTGATTGGATACAGATTGAGTATTTTGTTCGGGTGTGTCCTCCTATTCCATATTTCTGGTAAGTCTAAAGGAAATTACAGAGATTGAACGATCAGATTTCATAATGTATGGCCATTTTTATACAAGTACATAGGGAGTGGACGGAGACACTCAGTTGTCAGGCCATGTAGTGAAGACTCACCTTCCCTCATGCATTTGTTTTGCAAGAAAAGCTCCAGAACTTTTTTTTGTGGAGTGGTGCGTTACTGAAGTTTTTGGTGCTTTTGCCGCTCTTTGTGTTGTCATTACATATTAAAAGGCACACCAACAATGCACATTAGCAGCGTGTTCCTGAAATGCTTGGCAAAGCATGCATTTTCTGTGCAGTTTGCCATGCGTTCAGACACACAGATGTGAATGGAGCCTTTTTGTTCTGTGTAAACGCACCATATTCAGTTTCAGGCCACAGTCACACCGACAGTAGAGGGAGTGCATGTTTTTTTTGGCTAGTTTTACAAGTGAGACACATAGGGCAGCCCGTTGATTTCAGTGGGCTGCACTACACGTGGCAAAGTAGCTCATGGTACATTTTGGCTTGATGCGAGTTGCACATTGTTTACTGCGCATTTTTTCCTGCATTTGTCACCCCTTTTTCATGTGGCAAAATGTGTGCTTGTTTCTGTGTTTAGTGTGCCCATAATAATTGACACTGTAAGCGCAACTAGTTAATTTTAGCTGTATAAATGTGGCCATACACTATACAATCTAATTGTACAATCACCTTTAGAATTGCCAAAACTATATAATAGGAGGACACAGCACCTATCCAATCACACCATATCCAATCAAGCAGGCCCTTGCGTTACATTAGGGGTGTCCCATGGGCTGCATGCGGCCTGAGCTCGTCTGAAGGGACGCTGGGGTAGCCAGGCAAATGCATGTGGAGAGATCCCAGGGATGCAGTGAAAAATAGTTGATGGGTGAAGGGTGTGTACTAATGAGGTCAGTGCAGGATGTGTGCACTAATTAGATCAGCTGGTAATCTGCTTACAGGCTTCTGCTGGCTCCTCTGTCCTGTCTACATTCCAGGAATTGAAAAAGCTTTCTAAGAAATTTACCAAGGGCTAAGGCAAGGCCTTTTTCTCCAGATCAAAGAGAGCTTGAATAATTTTTCCAACTGAGGTGTGTTATTCCCACTTCGCTGCCAGGTCCTTGTGCTGTACGGACCTGACAGCTAGGGGTTTTATATACAATCCACTGGCTGCAGCCCTCAGGATTGTGCATAAATCTGACAGGTAGACTCCTGCCTGCCAGGTGGAAGCAGTCAGGCGACTCTGCTGCTGCCGATCACTTCCACAGCCCCATGTTCCGGTGCGTTCATGACTTCACTTCCGGGATACGGTTGTCACTTCCGGATCATGGCTGTCACTTTCCTGGCTAGAATAACCAGATAAACATGTATTGCAATGCGTTTTGCATTGCAATACATCTAATGGAGGCCAGAGGAGATATGCAGGATCTTTTAGACCCTGCATGTCTTACTAAAAAGAATCTGTCACCAAAAATCATGTCCACTGTGTCCCTTGGGGGGGGGGGGGGGGGGGGTTACACCCAAGTACACCCCCCCCAAAAAGAAACATTTAAGGCGCGCGCCCCCCCCCCCCCCCCCCGTAAATGCACGTACAAACATAAGTGCACACGTCGGGCGCCTACGGAGTCAGCGTTTGTTTTTCATTTATTTACCGGCTTTAATAGCTCAGCGAAGGAGCTGTCATTCTTGGAGGGCTAAAGGAAACAAAGGGCGCGGTCACCCAGTGACATTACCCAGTAATCCGCCCCTTAGTTTCCTTTAGCTCCGGGGAAAGTGAAGAAAAAAAATCCGATAATTACATTTAAAAACTGTCACTGACATATAGTGACAGCCAGTGAGGAAGCCTTTCTGTATACACTGCTCCTCTCCTGCCCCCTCCTTGCACACACTGCACCCCCCCACCCCCTCCCCGCTACAAAGAGGACCTGTCACTTTTATGTTATCACATAGGGGACTGTTGGTCCCCTATATGATAGCAATAAAATAAAGTTAAAAAAATATATACATTAAAGTAGAAAAAAATACAAAACAAAATTGGAGCCTTCCCACCCCCACATACACCGACCTTTTGGTTTTCGGCCACATGCATTCTGAATTTTATAGGTTTTGGCACCAGAATTTTCAGTTCGGTGCACCACTAATTGGAACTACCGCTGTTTTATTCTCGAGGGCAGGGGTAGGCAACCCTAAAGAGGTGGAAATCTACCTGAACAACGAGGGAGAAGTCAAAGATCACTGGGCACAATGCCGCCTTCTCACACCTTATTTAACCAGTTGCCATATGGCGTCCATCCAGGACGTGCATTGTGCATGCCCAAAGGGCCACGCTGTGGCGAGATCTGTCACCGGCCGTGTGCCTCGCACACAGCTGATGACAGATCTGTGTACTGACCCAGTTGCCAGTACCATGTGACCTGCTGTGACCAATCACAGCAGGTCACATGACAGTTGTATACAATGGATGGCTTCCTTTCATCACTGATCACTTCCCCAAAGTAGTACAATGTTACTATGGTAACATTGTGCTACTTTGGTCATAGTGTAATATGAAAACAAATCTTAAAAAATAAAAGAGAAGAAATGTAATAAAAAAATAAAAAGAAATTATATATATATTTTTTTCATACTGTCACCAGTCAGTGTCACTGATCCCTGCCACACCAGTTATATGATGAGGCTGTATTGCACTGGTGACAGTATGCAAAATTGTGAAAAATGTTTTTAATTTCTTCATTTACCTAAAAAATTTCCAAAATTGCAACTTAAAAAAACTCGCCATGCCTCTTATGAAATACGTCGGACTGTCTACTTTGCAAAAAGAGGTCATTTTGGGAATATCTGTACTGTTCTGACATTGTTTGGGCCTCAAGAAATTAGATTGGCTGTCAGTACTTCAGGATTGATCATTTTTCAGATATATCCCATAGTTTGTGAACTCTAACTTTCCTACAGACTAAATAATAAATACTGATTTGGGTTATTTTCACCAAAGAAATGTAGCAGAATACATCTTAGCCTAAATTTATGAACAATTATTTGCAAACTTTTATAACAGAAACAAAGAAAAAAGTGTTTTTTTTTTCTC